AACGCCCAGAATTGTGGAAAAACAATTCATGGCTTTTGCATCACGATAATGCCTCTGCTCACTGATCTTTGCTTGTGAGAGATTTTTTGGCCAAAAACAACACCACAATCATGCCTCAGCCACCATATTCATCGGATTTGGCCCCATATGACTTTTTCTTATTCCCAAAACTAAAGTGACCTATGAAAGAACGGAGATTTGCAACGATTGAAGAGATAAAGACTGCATCGCTGGAAGAGCTCAAGGCTATACCGAAAAGTGCTTATGAGAAGTACTTTGAGGATTGGAAAAACTGTTGGCATAAGTGTATTGTATCTGAGGGGGATTACTTTGAAGGGAACAACATAAATATTGATAAATAAATAAATATTTTTTCTTAAAAATACAAAGTCACCTTACTTTTTGAACAAACCTCGTATAATGATAATCGTTTAAAAATATTTGTCACATCAATCAAGAATAATTCCATAGAACTTGAATTCAGATTTAATTTCAAAATAATATATGTGTATTTTTACTTATTTCTCAAAGCCACGATGTGAATTTGAAATTGAAATTCCTAATCTACTAACACGTTTAACACGTTCTCTAAAAGATCGGAAACACTGGAAGTTGAGAGAATGGGAGAAATGGCTATTATTTTATAGTCTGCCTATTTTTTAATTGATTCCTGGTTTTGAAAAATATGCAAACCATTGGCAGTTACTGGTTAAAGCCATACATATTTTGAAATCTGCACCGATAAGTGAAGATGATTTTGTTCGTGCAGATCGATTGTTAAAAATGTTTGTGGCAGATATAGATTTGTTATATGATCGATCTGATATGACTTACAATGTGTACCAACTTTTACATCTCATTAAAAGTATGAAAGATTGGGGTCCATTGCAATTTCATAGCGGATATCCATTTGAATCAAGCAATGGGAAAATTCTGCGCATGGTTAAATCCGCTAAAGGTGTACTTTATCAATTATGTTGCAAAATTGAATATAAAATTAGTGCAATACTGTTAAAAGAGCACATTATGAAATATTACGAAAATTCTCGAGTGCTGAAGTTCATTTCCCACTTAAAAATTGCATACAGCAACAAATGTATCAAAATAGGTGAAAATAAATATTTTGGAACATCCAATTACCCTGATATTAAATGGGTGAGCTTGCTAAATCTTAATCCGACTTTACAAAATCATACGAAAAACTTCTGAAAAACAATTGCATTTTTTCATCATGCTAAAAAGAAACTCTACGATCTAATAACTTCTACATTCAGACAAAAACTGAAATGTTTATGAAAGTAAATTATTTTATTGTCGATGAAGTTTCTGAAATAGAATATATAATATGTAATCGTATTAAAATCAAAAGCACTTTTGAAAAATGTCAAAAAATAAAAAAAATTATATAAACTGAGAAAGAAATGACAGTCATAAGCATAAGTGACATTAAAAGCATTGTTGTTTGCGTTAAGACATCACACAGACAATATATTTCCGCTGCACCTAACATGCTACATTATTAAAAATATATTAATGCAATACGTTCGTTTTATTAAGTATGTACGTATTTCGTATGCACACTCCGGATTTCATGTGCATGAAATATGTACGTATTTTGTACATATTTTGTACGTATTACGTACGTTTTTTGTTCAAATTATTTAAGAATTTTTGTACATATTACGTACAAATTTCATACCTATATTTTAAGGGGAAGCTAACATAGAAACGTCTTTACCTTTAAAAAATAATATTGTGACGGCGGACCATATATGATCAAAATTTTAAAAATGTCGAAAGAATCATTTTTCCTAATATTAAGACCAACGGTAGAGTTGAAACCGTTTCTCATAAGCTGTGGGAACCGAGTCGAGTGTCGCAGGGAAATTTTTCTTGATAGTCTCCAAACGGCAATAAAATCTAGTCTAAATTTATGTAACCGTGCATTCCTTTTTTTCATTACGCTCTTCTGACCCTCGCACCCTCGCACTTGCATATGAAGTGCATGCAACCTCCGAACACGTGAGCGCTGAGATGCCGATAAGAGAAGAGGGCCATGGGATCGCGTCTGCATCCTATTCACATCATAACTAACGAATATTTCCCTTTCCAACTAGAAATTAAGCATTCGAAATTATGAAATAATATTTTTTGAACTTGAATATTTTGACTTCAACAATATATCAAAAATAATTTTGGCCTCTCAAAACCTCTTATCGAGTTTCCGCTTAGATTAAGCAGAAAATAGAAAAAATAAAAAAATATACGTTAATTTTAATGAATTCACTGTTATTTAACGAACTTTTACTATAAGAAATTAATCTACGAAATTATACAATGTAGCGTGCGAGATAACAAGCATCGCTCTATTTTTATTATATTTTATTAATAGATAATTATTGATAACTGTATTTTGCGACGAATTTAATTATAATAACGATTGTTAATATAAGTAGTGTATAAGTTATGTATTGGTCGATTATGCTTGTTCCGACTTCAATTAATTAATAATTACGAAATTTTAAACTAATCTTGGCTGCGAATGATACTTGAAGAGCTATCTTAGGAACTAAGGCCCTTGCGTCCGCGTCCCCGATTTTCTCCACGCCCCCGTTTCAATCAGGGCCCGAAAATCCAGCCAGGAAAATCAAAAGAAACAAACGGACCAATTAACACATCATTGCCTGCTCCACTCCTCCCGAAACCAAGAGGCTAAGAGAGGGACTCATCACCCAACCACCCACTTGATATAAAAATGGCTGCACAAGACCCAAAAGTTAGTTGCAGTTGTTGTCAGTAGTTGTAGTGTCTATGCAAAGCAGAGATTGAGTACCAGTAAGTGAGTGCTGAAGGAAGCACAGAAATCAGTAGTATCAAGAAATCAGCCAAGAAGGTAGCAAAGAAGTCAGCCAAGAGCTCAACAAAACTCAGTCAAGAAGTCAGTCAAAGAGACAAGCAGCCAAGCAGCGGAACAAGCAAAACAAGAAAAAATCAGTTAATATAAAATAAGGACGCGCAGGCCGAAAAGAGTGAATTATTCAATAAAAAAAAGAGCAAACAAAATTTTTATTTTTTTTAACTTATCTATCTCTCCTCTCTTTTAGAAGTAGGTCGCAAATCAAAAATTTTCCCTTTGTCGTATTTGGAGACTACTTTTGATAGGCTCTAAATACAATTTATATTAGGAAAACCAGGTTTTACTATTGATAGGACCCAGGGTACTTCGTGCTCTCGGATTACAACTATTGATTGGAATCCAAGAGCAGAAGGACAGGTTTAGTGGCACTGTCCCTTTCGGTATTATTAATTTTCGAATAGTGATCCCGTTAGTTTATGCGAGAAATCGCAGACTAGCAACAACAGAACCCTGAGACTGCGCCAAGCCTCAGGTGCACCTGAGATGTGTCGTTGCCACGACGTCATAATATTTCGAGAGGAATATTGCAGAGGTTATAGGAAGCAAATTTTAGTTACCAAAATTTCCGTGATGTATAAAAAATTAGTAAAGATACAGCTAAAAATTTATTGGAATGAAAAGTAAATAATTTGCCAAATCTAATTAAAAAGAAGACTATTTTAGATATCGTCTTAACACATTTAAGCTCAATTGCCAAAGTTTAAAACTTACAATTAGTTTCAACTGCCAAAATATTTTTAATTATAAAACAATTAATATTATGATTATTCGGATGTAACTACTCAAACGAACAATGTGATAACTTTGTAGTAATCAAAACATAATTTAACTCTGTTTATAAAAATAAATAAACATATGTCATATATTCGTATAAAATATGAATAAAATAAATTTAGTTAATGTAAAAAATAAAGTCAATTAATATGAAATCAATCGTTAGCCTTATTAAATTATTTAACACAAAACATATGAGCATTCTAATTGCGATTTTATATTTTGAAGCTGTTTAAAGTTGCCGCGCAAAGTCGCCATTTGTCACTCTCCCAATGTAAATTGCAACGTTGCCAAGTTTTCAGTACATCTATTATAAATCGTGGTTTTTGGATAATATTTAATTAAAAAGTATGGTAACATGGTCTAAAACTTAGCACTTATTCCGCTAACGTTTTTCTATACATATATCAAAAAATTTTGATAACGTTATTAGCAAATTTGAGAGTTCATCGATCTTTTCAATGCAGTTCTATAAGGCCCTCGCCACATATGCGCATACGTGCGCGTACGAGGGCGTACAAATGCGTACAAATCGCTAAAAATTTTGATAGTGCCAACAACAGAAAGTTACTACTATTCCTCGCATGCCCCAAACGAACACACTTACTCCTGGAACAAACGTATCATAACGCTATATTATTGAAGGTTATGATACGTTTGTTCCGGGAATAAGTGTGTTCGTTTGGGGCATGCGAGGAATAGTAGTAACTTTCTGTTGCTGGCACTATTAAAATTTTTAGCGATTTGTACGCGTTTGTACGCCCTCGTATGCGCATATGTGGCGAGGGCCTAAGAGTTCATGTAAAAAAGGGCATTTTCATGATTGAATTTCTCGTTGACTAGACTGGAAACACATTAAAAAAATAAGTATGTTATCAGAATACGTTTAACTTTTATATATTCGAGTTTCAGCACGTGTTCATTAGAAGTCATTTTTAGTAGGCAACGTCCTTAAAAGAGCCTCGGCGCTCGCTACTCTTGCTGCCTCGGCTCTTATACTATCCCGGACTGAAAACATTTCCTCTTCCGGTGTAATTACGCTCATTGCGCTGTTGATCCATAAATAACTAATTCATTTTGCTTCAATTCACAAAACAACTATATAACGCAATATGTGCTAACGGACAAGAACAAACGACACTCGACATCGAAGCGTACGCGATGCACGTGTAGGAGAATGAACGTCTGTGAAAGAGAGAGAGAGAGGGGGAGATAGAAAGAGAGAGAGAATAACTTAGAGAGGGGCGAGAGGGAATAGAAGCAGCTGCGTCGTGCCTTGATGTAGCCTGCAGTTGAGCCAGTCCAGACTCCAGTAATAGTAGTGCCGCGGTGCTGATACAAACGTAGTCTCTTAGTCGTGTCGCTTTGCATTCCCTGAATAAATATACGTATATCGACTATCTAGACATACTAGAGTATTACCGGTCGACGTTATCTCTTATACGAATGACGTGAGTGTATATGAGTCAACGGAAGAAAAATTTTGTACACACTGACCGGCCTAGTGCAATTATTTTGACAAATTACACTGAATTTATATTACGTACAGTAAAAAAGACGTATGGATTTTCATATAAATATCTTATGTTAGTTTTTAGTGGCTTCTAGTTTTCGTTCTTGTCCTAATAAGCAGTTAGCTTAATACGCATGTGGGTGCCAGCTTAACTAACGAATTAATACTGTGTCTACATTAAAATCTGATTTCATCAATATCTGTACACGTTCGCCTTCACATTTGTCTGGCTATCCTCAGTTCTGCAACTTTTCTTTATAAACAGCGGTAAATTGAAAAATTCACGTACCTATCGATAAATATATAGCAATATATTATTTTTCACGTTACATCTTTATTTACGACATATAAATCATTGTATTACATTCTTAATACCACATTCATGACTTAATATATTTTTCTATTGCCGGTAAATTCTGAAGATTGGTTAATTTTGAGTTTCTATTAATTGTGCCAGCCTAAAACTTGAATAGTTAAACGTTTAGTAGTTTGATATATTGTTGATTTTTTTATAAATTAGCAAATGTAGTGTAATTTATAATTTTAATTTCTTATAATTAAACTATTGAAAAAAATGCACTTGCTTTGTAATTGTAATATTAGAAACTAAACATATATATGGTTAGCATTCAATTAGATCTATGTTTAATGTTGTTAAATAATATTTAATATTGAACGTTAAAAATACTCAACACAGCAATAGGATAAGACAACATGGTTATTTAGTAAATTGGAAGAATCATTAATCGCTATCGTTTAGGAGATATTTTTTGAGAAGGTTGCACACTCAATTAAAAAAAAAATGTTTGACTTAGTACATCGTAAGATTTTGATATAAAAGACTTGATTAATGTTTAATTCTCTGAGGGTACAAGATATAAATTATTTATTTTCTTATATAACGTGTACTCTAAGATCCGCAGTTTTTCTTTACATTTTTATTCATTTCTTGGAAGGAAAAGTCAAGATTACAGAGTACAAATTTTGTACACAGTAGAGATTATAGTACATTACGATACAAGTGTGGGAAAGTAGATTCCTGTCTCATGTGGCGTTTACGCCCGAGCGACACGAGACAGGAAACTACTTTTCCGCACTTGTATCGTAACGTACTATTGCAGAATAAAAAAATATATCAAGATAATTTCAATATATTAAAAGCATATGTTAATTCTCTACCATGCGTTATGACATAATATAAAATGTTACCGAAGTACATAAAAGTTTCTTTTTACTAATTTATATTTTTTTTGTTAAATTTAAATTCATTGATATTACCAGGAAAAATACAATTCATTGAATACGATCAAATAATTCATAAACAATTTTCAGATTGCACGTAATATAAAAGAAAAAAATTATACGTATCGTAACAGTTCTCCGTATTAAAATGATTAAGTACGAGTCTGCTAACATGAGGGTCTTGAATTCAAGTCTCGGTCAGGTCGGTTATTTTTTTTTAATTTCTATATATAGTTTAGTTTATTTTTTATCAAAGTTGTCTGCGTTATTTTATCCATAATATACACGCATTATTAATTATTCATTTTTTAACGACGAGGCTATAATTGAGTACAAACTTTGTACACATTCTTTAAAAAATTTGAACACTTATTTTCAGTGGGGTATACATTCTTACAGAGGAAAACTGGTCGCTTATGTGCAAGTTGTGATAAAATGATAAAAAACAAAGTAATAATAATAATCAAAACTTAAAAACTAAAATTTGATAAATTAATGAAGTCTATTTCTTTGATCGTTGTTCTCACCTGCTATAATTTTATCTTAATCGAAGCTATGCTTAATCGGTTGAGGTGATACCGAAAGAAAACCACTTTTGATATTTCGTTAACCAAATCATTAATCTCTTTAGAATCTTTATTCTGAAAAATTAGAATGAAACAAAATTAAAAACAATATGACAAGCAACTAGAACCCAGCAGTAAAACCACTTGGAAAATAACAGCCGAGGCCTGCCATGGCTCGGCCGGTAGGGCGACGGATTCACACCCGGTAGGCCCGGGTTCGATTCCCAGTCCCTGCTGATTGATACAAGCACCACTGAAAAATGTTTCATGTGCTATGTTCTACAACACATTGCAAACCTCCGTCGCTGATTAGCACTGATGGAGCATAGATAGAGCGACGTTAAATAAAAATAACAGCCCGATAGTTCTGGTCAGAGAAAATGCATATAATTGACTAATCTTACTATTATGATTTGGTCTTATATCCTGCGCCCAATGTTAATTCCATAGTAGACTACTAAAAGGACTATATGTTACTCAGTTTTGTAGTATCCTCTTTATCATTAATGTTGTGACGAAAATTCATAATGTTTAATCCCTTGATTAACCCCTTGAGTGGCGACGGTTTTCTAACTTTCTGTATTTAAAAGGCTAACCGGAGATATTACATTTAATTAAACAGAAATAGTGCTTCTAAGGGTTGGGTTTCTGAGGTCGCTGAATTCATTTTCATCGTTATTTTTTACCTGACTTATTCCAATAGGGTCGAAAATAAGGGATGTAAATAGGGATTGAGGAGATAATTGTTAATTTTTGGTGAAAAAAATTTTTTTCATTCAATCTGTATTTTGAACTCTCTCAGAATTTTTCCTTACAAAAAATATTCTTTGTGATAAAACAGAAAACTCTACTCAGGATTGCACAAAATGGAAAACTAACTTCTACTTTCATTTCACTAGAATTTCTGATTTAGAAAAGTATTCTTTGCAATTAGACATGAGATCCTAAACATGGAAAAAGTTTTCGACTTCAACCCTTGTTTTCAACCCCTATTTTTGACCCTATCAGGCTTTTCTATAACAAATGGAATCTCTTCAATAGAATAATAGACCATAAAAATACGGAAATAAAAAAAAAATTTTTTACGGAAAAATAAAAATTCACTTCTGACTTTCAACTATTGTTTTAAACCCAAACCCCATCAGATTTTTCTGTGGCAATAAGAATCTTTTGCATAGAAGAAAACATAAAAACATCGAAATCAAGAAAAAAAATTGTTTTTCGTGAAAATCTAAGAAATTATCTCACGTTCAACCTCTATTTTTAACCCTTTAAGAACTCCGTAGGCCAAAATTAACGATGGGGATAGAATTAGTTATCTTAAAAAGAGTTATATACGGAGTTTGGTGATGTTCCTTGGAGAATTACTAAAGTTATTTCGATTTGTACATATATGATTGTACTATATACTGCTACTCAATAGGTTAATATTTCTGAGACCACACACTTCTTCCAGTTACATTCAAAATCCAGAATTCTGGATAAATTTCTTTATCATTCGATTAGTATGAGTTTTATTCAATATGCTACTGTATGTCAATTTTTGTTCTTACATTGCAATCAATTTGTGTATTATTTTTGTTTTAGGTTTTTTGTCGAAGTTCTAACATGGTCCCAAACAACAGCGGTGCACTCAAAAGTGTTTTTTTGGACACAAACAGACATTCATCAAGAATTTTCAACAAAACTTTTATTAAATTTGATGTGTCAATGGCTAATGATAAAATTGGTTTTATGAGATCACTGGATTTATTTTATGTCAAAAATACAAAAGAATTTGGATCTAAATTAAACTGGGAGGAAGTTTCATCAGCAGCCACTTTACCATTAAAAGAATGTTCAGTAGTACTCACCGATATAAGCTATAATACAAGAAGTGAACTTTGCAATAATGGCATAAATTTTATTTGCTACAAAAACCTGCATCATCAATTCAATGTTAACAAATGCAAGAATGTAAAAATTCGGAAGCAACAAATTATTAAAAGAACTTGTTCAAAGCTTACTGACACAAAATCTTTGAAAAATACTAGTAAAATTGAATCCATAAAATGTAATGTTGGTAAAAGGAAAAACAATAGCAGTGTCACTTTCAAAGTGACTTTAAAAATAGGCAGTGAAGTCATTTCGAAAAAGTACTGTAAAAAGAAATACTTTAGTAAGGAATCTCCATACAAACGAATAGTCAATAAAATGCATCAAGACATCGACTGTGAAAAATGTAACGATATCAAAGACAGTTTATACAACTCCAGAGTTAGATCGGATATTGCGAATTGTCATCAAGACAGTAGTAAAAGCCCACAATGTGAATCCTACGATCAAAATGTATTTGAAGATAAGTGGCTTATGGCTGCAGCACTTGTGGAATTGGAAATACAACGACACCGTTCGCAATATATGAAATCTCCTCCTTTTGAAAATAATATGCAATATAATGATGAACGAAAGAATATTGATAACAATAATGTAGATGGTGATGCTGCTGTTTCCGAAGCACGTGAAACAATACCATTGAGTACTATTACCGAAGATGATATACAAGAAGTTTTGCGAATAAAAAAAAATGCGAAGAAAAATTGTAATAAGAGTACCAATACTTTACAACGGAATAGGCTGACTACGAATAATAATGATGAAATTATTACTATTGATGATAATTGCGATGATTTAATGGATGATTGCGTAATTATTGGTGAATCTTTATCAGAGGATTACTTGAAAGACTATAAAGAAAATCATTGTCCATTTTACATGATGGACACCGAGAAACAAGGAAATAAAAAGAATTCTTGTTTTAACGATGGCAGGAACATTGTACAACACAAACTTCATCATTCAGATTCCCAGATTTTAGCTCTTAGTACAAAAAATAATCCAAGCTTGCAATCATCATGTAATAAAAGTTATGAAATATCTAGATTTAAATGTAACAAATTAATTCAATACTGAGATTTTTTAGCATATGAACGTTACACTTTATACTATTAGATCACTATGTTATTTAGTACCTTTAGTTTTAAATAACAAATTTATTATTAATTATATGTTTATTAACCTTGCATAATAATAAAAATTTTATTTAGCGATAGTGGAAAATATTTTAAATTGTGATATTGTTAACAGTAATTTATCTTTAAAATTGCCACCGTCACTCAATGTTAATGCAGTTAAATATCAAATATAAAATAGTTTAAACTCGAATTTTTATAACGAAAATTTTATATTTTATTATCTAATATTATATTTTGTGATATATAGTTTTTAATTGAATGAAAGTTTAATGCTTCCATATTTTGACTACTTTTATATACTTATCAATTAGTCTATACATATTCAATATCTAACCGAAACGCAGCATTTTACTCAATGAATAATCTTTGAGAAAAGAGTCTTGTGGTACTTTTTTGTTTTTATTATTGTTTCATATCTTTAAAATTCAAAAATGCTATTCATTAGAAATTGATAGGAATTTGTAATTCTAAGTTCAGCTAGTGATTGTTGTTGGGAAAGTTGGCATTAATTAAATTTTCTTTTCTTTTTTATTTGAGTACAGTCATTTATCTATGAAACTATATGGTAATATAATGATTCTAAAAATTGAACTAATTCGATTGAAATTCTTAAATTACAGTTACAATAATAAACCTAAATGTTAAATTGACAACATCGTTACATAATCGTATTCAGTGTTATCTGATGAATTATCGTCATTAAGAATGGATTGAAAATTGCCACATGTCTTCTTTTCACTATTACTTAGATTGTTATTTTGGCCATCGACTTCTCCATATTTTTTTTAATGAATTATCATTTTGAAGCTTCCTGCTACTAAAAAAATACATGTACCGATTTATATGATTTTATCGCGTTTGCAGTTTCAGACCTATCAATGGATTTTTTTTAAATTAAATTTAAAAAAATTTCATTTACTCCATGCTTTCAAGATAAAAATACTTTTAAGTAAATATTTTAAAATAAAAATCGAATAAACCACTTTCTACACTTTTAAATATTTATAATTTTGTTGTTATTGTTATTTTTGAAATTGTAACTATAATAATGATGATTTGTTCCTTCATAGTTGAAAAAAAATTGCTCTTTCGACACAATTTTTATATAAAACAATAATAATGTTGGAATTTTGACGTGCTGGAAAAAATATTGGCATTCAGCGGCTCGAAAAACATACAGTACACTTACGGAAGCCGGAGTAGACTCCGGAAAAGTTGTTGTGGTCTTGTGATAATTAGAAATAAGAATTATTATTAATTAAATGGTTGTAAGAGAGATAATAATTATAGAAGTTTTTAAATTATAGAAGCTTTAAAAAAATTATAATTCATTAATTCATGAAATAGGTATGAGTGATTTTTAAAGAAAAAATCACTTATGTAAGGTATACCATCTGTAAGGGTGATTAACAGTGCTCGAGAATGGCTATTTAGAAAATCCTGAAAAACCTTAACTTAAATATATGATATAGTAAACAGAAATACTTTTCTCAATTTTTTCGAGTTCATACTTTGGTTTTCAAGAAAAAAAAATAAACATCTAGTTTTAAAAAAATATAAAATAAGGGTTGTAACTCTCCGGGCTATAAATATGCCTAAGATCTTAGACTTCTTACAGCAAAATCCTCCACTTAGTTTAAAAACATATTCACGAAATACTGAGGTATAATAAGAAAACGATTTTGGGGTTTAGATGAAAGGATGGTTTTTTATCCTTTAAAAAAAAATATATTATACATTATTAGCTGAAACTCTGTCTTTATTCTTATTGTTTGATTCATAATTTTTTTTTCTATAAACTAATAATATCTGTTCTGTAATACTGAATATAGATATTTGCAAACAAGCTTACCTTTATAGGTTGTACCTGTTAAATCTTAGTTATCTCATAAAATTACACGGGTTGATAGTTTTTCTGATTTACTATGTAATTTCCCAATTTATTTATACAACCGTAGATTAGGAATATACACAACAGTATGCATTACCGTTATTAAAAAGTGATCTAGAGTAATTTATCCTGTGAAGCATTTAAGAGTTAACTAATGGAACATAAAACCACATGCGGCAAAAATGCATAAGTGTTTTCTTTTCGTAACCTAGTAAATTAAATTATAGTCACAGAATGTTATTTAATAATATACGACTGGACATTGATTGTATTGACCTATCGTACAGATTCATAAAAAAGTTTTCAATAAAATATGATTGAAGATTTCTTACGAGACGATGCTTTAATTAATCATTATGTTATAAAATAATCATTTCAACTTGTACGTATAACACAAGTATACAAATAATAGGTCATTTTCTGTATCACAAGCCAGCAATGGTATTTCCGAAGGATTTTAGCGCGCTGAATTCAAATCTGGCCTCAGAATTGTTTCATCACGTCAGGTTTTTGAGATATCCTCATCCAAAAGTGCAAAAAGCTCTGCTTTTTGACATATTTAAGGTTATGTAGCATCGTAAATAAATTTTGTCACAGAAAACTATTCAAAACCTCTTAAAGTACAAATCTTCCTCTTCAAAATGCCGTTAAGTTTGCCTAAATATCTTTTTTTTTCGCCAATATATCGCATTTTGAAATTTTCATATTTATGAATTTCTCAAAATTCGAAAATCCATTAATCCGTTAAGTCCTAAGTGGACGATTTTCTTTTACTCTTTTCAATTGATCTTTTGTCAGGAATAGAAATCAGGAATAGACATTTCTGAGGTAAAATTACCTGAACTTTCGATCTATACTGTTAGAGTTTTGAAAAAATGCGTACGTGTGCTTGTGTATATGCGTGCGTGTGGCTCGGCAAGTCTAAATATGAACTGGCAATGAGTAATAAAATATTAGAAAATACGAACAATATCAAGTTCATGTGAAAAACAAATGAGTCATCCACAATAACAAGTATCTTGGAACGGAACTTATTTGTATGCGTGACTACGATGTCATAAAATTTGCATTGTGCCTTTCTCTCTCCATTCTATTTATCAGTCAGCTTTTACGGTATTTGATGCATTGAAAATTCAAGCATAATTTTTATTGTACGAATTTTTATTTATTCAAATTGTAATATGTAATTCAAATCCCTAAAATAGTTCGCTATAGAAAAAAATTGTTTTTGAAGGTAAAGTTTTGAAAATCTTTTTTTCTGGTGTAGTTGGTCTTGTATAACAATAGAAAATACTGGCTCATGGATTTTTCAAAATCATTTTTTTATAAACTATATATTTAACAAAATATTAAAAATTTTCGAGCAAAATTATTTCAATAAGCTAAGATTACTCAAGCTGACTAACTTTCTAAATAAAAATAAAACACAGAAACTCGATAGTATATTTCTGTGGATTTTCGAGCGCTTAATCCAAATCTAGCTTTAGAATTGATCCATCAGACCATCACCTATGGTTTTCGCGATATCCCAACCTAAAAGTGTAAAAATCACGATTATTTGCTATGTTCAAGTTTATTGACGTATGTAGTAGTCAGGACAATGCAGTACTTTTATCCATTAAAATTCATTTTTCGGATTACAGTTATTTTTTTTCTTCGAGATATTGATTGAAGTTAAGTACTTTAGTAGCTTTACAACAACATTAAAATAGCTCAATCGTCAAATACCTGTATCTTGCGTTCTCTAGACCCTTAAATCCCGATTTCTTTATGACCCGGCCATATAACCTTTGACCCCTATGACCTGTGATCATATAACCCTAGACTTTTGAACCCCAATGGCTCTAATCCAACCCCCAACCCTTCGACCCTAATTGCCTTAACCTAATTCCTGATTCCGTTGACCTCTGTAACCTCTGACCATATAACCCCAAACCCATGAACCTCAATTGCCTTAACTTCCTACTTCTGTAACCTGAGACCATATAACTCTAGACCTCTGAACTCTAATTGCCTTAATTCCCAACCTCTGTAACTTGTGATGTTTATGTTGTTGCTCAACTGCTAAAAATATTTAATATTAATTAATAATATCTCAATAAAAAAAAACAGATATCTTTAATCCAAAAAATAGAGTTTAAAGGGCAAAAGTGCTGCTTTATGATGGTTTCACGGGTTTTTGGAAACATTTATTCAGTGTTATATTACCTGATATATAGCAAATAATCGTGATTTTTATACTTTTACAAATACCGGTAAGGATAAACAACATAAACAATGTATTTCAAATTATATAAGTGGCAAATATTATTTATATCCTACATCATTGTCTATATTATTGTTTAGAAAATAATTATCAAGAAAATTATTAACAAAATAAGATAAATCAAGCTGTTAACAAATTCATATATATAAAGCATTTTTAATAAAATTTGAAGTTACTGCAAATAACAACAAAATATAGACTATCGTATCATATGTTTAATATTTGTCAGAGCTGGCTGACAAATAGCTTATATACCTGGGTTTTATGGTTATTGAGATTATTAGAAACTGAAAGTTGTTATATTTCACCTTCAAATTAAATTTTCTAGACATAATTAAAGGTAGAAAGAGTAAATTATTTAAGTGATGTGGTATGCATAAAGAATAATTTATTTTGGCAATGAAATACAATGGTAGTAAAGGTTTCATTATTAATAATCATTGAAGCTACCCTATATTTAAAAAAAATAATACAAATTGGTGCAGTAGATATCAAATTATGTCAAATTTTTCTAAGCGCTTCGATTTGAACGCGCGCTTTTAGTTTTTTTGAGCGCGCGAAATAAATCTCCCCGCCGCCGTCACCGGCCTTTGGTTTTTCGCATAATGAATTTAAATTAAATTTTACAATACAATTAAAGTCGGATTATTAAAAATTTAAAAAACTCATTAAATAATGTAAGATTTCAACAATGAAACGCCCCTAGCCTAATCCCTTAATATTAATTAAGACCTGTCATTTAAAAAATAAAACACGGCTCCTATTTATCATAAATAAACTTTTTTTTCAAAATATTTTTCTCGAATCCAGATATCCAAATATATAAATAACAAACTGCTATAATGTATAGGGAAACCGCAAATCTAATTGTTTATAGCAAAAAAAAGTACACGTTTTCCAAACTGAAAATAAATAGTTAAAAAACAATTTTTTCATGGCTGATAAACATTTCTTGAAATTGATATTTTAATGAAGAGTTTGAGCTGTCTTGAAATTCGATACCCAAAAAAAAAATTGCAGCCTCGTACTTTGGACGTCTTTTAATAAACTAATAAGATTAAATCGACAACGAATAAAAATATAAAATCGTGCGACAAGTAATTTTTTAGAATCATAAGAGCTTCCCATCAAAAGCAACACATATTGAAAAAAGTCATTTTTGCAATAAATATTCAATATGTTATAAAGTGCCATTTTCTAGGGTTATTTGCCCTTTGCGCAATAAACTAATCGACGAAAATAATCACGCGACAGCTCAAATTGTAGCTTTTAATATTTTCTATAACTTTGACGCAACACCTTTTTTGCTATAATGAATACCTCGGCTTGCAGGAATAAAAAACTTATTTTCGCCAACTTTGAACCTTTATAACAAATTTTCCAGCTAAGGTCTCAAGCTACAAAATATATACGTTTTTTATTTACGTTGCTCTGAACAGATCTACGTTGTCAAAATCCATCATCTAATTTTTGCATCAATATTTCTCTATTGATTGGACTATAGCGTTTTTGAAAGGTTTTCACCTTTTTCGAACGTCTGTTAATTTTTTAAGATACAACTTTTGGATGCCGATTAATAACACTTTTCAGCTCTGCCGATTTTTGTATTGGATGCTCAAAAGCATGTGGAGAGGAATGTACATTGAATTAATTTCCAGGATCAACGACGCGAAATAGTAATCGATTTTGTGACTATGTAGATGTGACGGCAGGCCGTAATTTAGTTTTTTTTTAATCTTAATTAATTAATAGAAATATATATTAAGAGCAGAATGAGAACCTTCAAGATATATATAAAAGGAGCAGGATTGAGAGTCGCTACTAATAAAATTTCCCATGCGGAAAGCACATCTGGAATAAGGTGTTGATATAAAACCTGATAGTGGCCCAAACCTGTGTACTCGGCCTAACACTCGCTGCCTTATCCTGCTTTGTCCCACTCGCATGTGTTGACAGGAGCCTACGATCATTGCGTATATATTTTAAAGCACTATCCCACCGATAAGAAGAGGGGCCATAAAAATACAATCTATCTTTTTCTTTTCAACCGAATTTTCTCTTTGTAAAAAACTTTGCAATTTACCATTGAAATCGATTAAAATAAAATTGTTCTTATTAATAGATAATTACGGCTTCCTGAAACCTATAATCGAGTTGTCATTCTGAAAAACATTTTAGTCAGAAAATACTAAAAGAATATCCGTAATATTAAATGGGCTTTAATCAATTTTGTAAGTTACTATCAAATAGTGATTGTTCTAATAAAAATCATGCCATAATGCGTATCTTTTAAAGATATATTATTTATCCAGTTCAACACTTGCAAGAACAAAATAACCAGTAAATAATTTCATGTTTTAAGCAAAAACAACAATAGAACCGTAATGCATTTTATAATAACTCTTAGAAGTTTTTGTATTTTTCTAAATGGTTATAATAGTTAATTATTGAATTATTGTAATTTATAGTTATTATAATTCTCTCATTATTAAATAATCACTATGTATCGTTAAAATTAACTAAGTCTATTACGATTTTGTGTAAGTAATTATAAACCATAGCGTCACTCTTGCTCTCGAAAATGGCACTCCAAGAGCCATCTCTGGAGAAAAAGGCCCAAGTTAAGAATAGGCCGCCCTATCTCTCTTTGAAAACTCACGCCTCCGACCAATTACAAATACCAAATCAAATAAGAAAATTTTCCCACCAATACAGAAAATTTTGATCGTCATCATGTCATGGGCCGGAAGAAGGGGATTTCCACCCAACCACCCACTGCTTATAAAAAACTCTATACATGACTGTGGGACCAGTGCTGGAGAAAACACAAAAGGATAGAAAATTTTTTGAGAAGGATCAGTAGTGCAGTGTAGTGCCAAGAAGTCAGCCAAAACCTCAGCCAAGAACTCAGCCAAAAGCTCAACCAAGAAGTCAGCCAAGTGTATCTAGAATTGAGAGAGAGAGAGAGAGGAAGAGAGAGAGAGAGGGTGAAAGAGAGGGAGGAAGGGAGAGGGAGGGAGGGAGGGAGGGAGAGAGAGAGAGAGAGAGAGAGAGAGAGAGAGAGAGAGAGAGAGAGAGAGAGAGAGAGAGAGAGAGAGAGAGAGAGAGAGAGAGAGAGAGAAGTCAAACAGCAGAGAATATGCAGCCTAAGTATCAAGCAATCAAATAAAATAAAAGTAAGTGCATTTTATATTTGGCTATCTCTCCTTTTATTTTCTTTCTCTCTAGTTACCCTTTCTTTCTGGAAATTCGTTAATCGTGAATCTGGCGAATTTCCGAAATATTTCGAATACTTAGAGTATAAGTAACACATTAAGTAAGAGTCTGGTATATTCAATAATAACACTCAGTTACTATTTCCAGGTTAGTAGTTTCTCTGCGCAACAATATTGTTCGTCCCGGCATATGCGTTGTACGCAAGCCAAATCAGAGCAACCCTGAGCTTACGTTTACTCCTGAGAGTGACCCCGACCAATTATATTTTATTTTTATACTTAGTTTTAGTAGATGCATTGGTTCATTCAATATGTTTCAATTATACTTTAACAATTGATAAATTATTTTTGGAACTTTCAAGAAATATCAATTATCTAAACCAATAGAAATTTCATAGTAAAATGAGTAAAGTATTTTATTACATATTTACAATGTATGAATCCACAACACTTGTATACATAAACAATGGATTCAACAAAGATAAGTTTTTTCCTGCAAAATGCGGTGAAGTTGACTGGAAAACAAGTTAAAATAAAGTACAGATAATTTCAATGATAATAGTAAGAACATATCGATAAGGGCTTGGCAGACATACATAGTTCTAAAATATTTTCTATGGGTGTTCGTCTCGGATGACTAACTTTGATAAACGAAGTAAGACAATTACAAGATTTAATTTGCTCCGTTACTGTGAACAGAATTAAGTTATTATCTTTAAAAAAGAATAAGATAATATTTGTTATGTATGCAATGAATTTACATATCAACTCGACGGTTGTATACATTTGTTTTCATTTCATTTTCGAAATTAGTCAGGCAAAGTGCTAAGGAAGCATAAGCATCCGATTTCTGAGAATCCATGGCTAACTCAAGTGCTGCGCGTAGATTTTCGAGTTGGTAACAGGGCCAGGCCTCAGTAAGCGTAACTGCTCTGCATAACAAATCTTGCACTTGGGTCTTCATGAGCAGTCTCTCAGCACTGTGGGATGCACTTAGGGGATTACTACTTGAGGTCCTAGATCGTTGGCGTTTCGTTGGTGGAGACTCGATGTTCGTATTCACGTTTTTACGTTTACTAGTGTTGCGACCGTTTACCAATGCTGGCGCAGACACCGTCCGACTCGATGCCGCTGCTGTTGCTATATAAACGTAAATCAAAGAAACTCTGTTACATAGACTTCTATAAAATCCTGTTTTATAAAATCATTGGACAAGAAAGGCGCTTTAACTTATTTAATATTATATAATTAAGCTAAAAATGATCTGAAAATTCGTTTTTTAAATAAAAATCTATCCTTGTAATATGTTTATAAAAAAATTATAAATAAATAAAAGACCGATAAAGGTTTATTGAATTTATTGATATTCATGAATCTCAGCAAAAATGTCGTTTGAATATCAGGGATCTCCATTTCAAAATTTTCTATCAACTTTTTAATTATAAACTGTATATAGAAGAGGATGGAACATGGCGACTATGAAATAAGTATTCTATCGTTCAAACTTTTAATACACAACAAAATCTTAAAAATTCTTAACTCTTATATATTTATTAAATAAAATTTATAATTCTAAAAGTTCCTAGCAACTTGATTTTGTATGATTCTATGTTCAGAGCCTTTCACAGACACCCAAAACTGTCTAGCTACTCAATTGCTCTTATAATAAGGGACGTAACGTTTCTACGGGTATGGCAGTATTCCAGTCCCCATCTCTTACGCATTACCATTCACCGAACATCGCTATTTCTTTCAATCTTTATCTTAGAATAGAACAGTTCACATAAAAAGTAACTTTCAAAGTTGAAATATTTTTGATATATTAAAGTAAATGCGTTAGAAACATTTACTTCCACGGCATTAACAAATCGGAGGGTGTTTCTAAGTATTTTGTTTGCTATTCCATTATAAAACATTTAATACTACTAATTTAAAAAGTTACTTTCTTGAGTTATATTATAAGTATTATATATGGCTTTTTTTTAATTTATAAAGCGTTATGGTAATAATTCGTTGTGAGAATAATTGAACAGTAACTTTTGGCACAGTACTTTGTGACATAGAGCTCATTTGTTAAAAATTTAAACTTTAAAGCCCTGTTATTCCGATTTGGATTTTCAGATCACTTTGCAATTTGAATACAACGTACATAAAGTTATCAGTACTCTGAGTACTGATTGTCAAAGTTTGGTTACATTTATTCTTGCTATAGTAAAATTAAAAAATTGAATGATTTTAATTGTTTTTGTTCAAAAACTACAATTATTTACACTAGTTATTTAGATATTTCGAGAAAACGTCAAAAAAAAATTTTCAAAATTAGATAAATATATGTACAGTAAAACAATTTATACCGTTGTATGATTTATCGGAGATGTTGTCTGAATTGGAATTTGTCCGCAGGAACATTTCATAAAAGTATTGTTCTCGTTCCGTTCTGTTTGGTGATCCAATTTCAAATATTTCTTGCTGGTGTTCGTTAAACAGTTCCAATATCTAATAAAAAGCAATTATTTTTAATTGTCATCTGCCAATAAAGTAGAAAGTGCGTGCTGTAACAAATTACAACTTGATAATTATATAACTATATATCTTATAATTGAACTTTTTAGAAATCCTATGATTGTAGATACTTTTCTTAATATTTTTATCTCCAAATCTAGCCAAATACCATGATTGTTTTAGAATTTGGATTGAGACTCATACAATATCATGAAAAGTTCATAACATTACCTCAGGTGGTAAGTCGTGACGATCACATTTGGCAGTGGTCAACACCAGCACGTGAACAGAATTATCTAGGCCCTTTATTAGTGACGTAAAAACTACCCGCGCAATTTCGTCCACTAAGTTCCACCATGACAATACGTCTGGCACATAAAGGAGGGAAGGTAAAGTATGACGAGCTGCTTTCACTTTCTGTTAAAAATAATAAAAAATTTAAAAAGCATTTGAAATATCAAATATTTTCGCGAATATCATAATATACTAGGTAGATCCTAGTGCTATATGGTAGAACATACTTGTTTAATTGATTTGATGGATATTAATAGGTAAAATATATATTCAAATTCTAAATGGATAATTATTGAAGCTAGAATTTAACTTTGATCATTTATTACTAATTGCAGTACAATGAGAACATAGTTTAACGTGTCTCCTACGGTACTGCTGGTACTAACTAGTATAATTCATCACACTGTAAAAAAAGACAAAATATTCACTGGAGTATTCTGCTAAGTTTTATGTACCTATTTCATATAACAATAACATTATTTATCGTCTCAATATATTAGACAGATTGTAAATAAACATAAAGCAAATAAAAAAAAATGTTTTGATTTAAAAGTCTTTTACTAACTCATGTAGATTTTGCACAGATTTTGAATTAATTTTAAATCATTATAATAAATCTTTACTCTACCTAAATATGTTTTCTTTTTATTTTAATGTTTTAATGTCTCGAACGATCTATTACACGTATCACTTTATTACTTGCAGAAAATTACCAAAAACAGAATAGGAAATTTTTATTGAAAACGATTAGATAGACTTTAGTCATAGGATAATCTACTCGGACTGTCACTGTGTTTCAGCGGTCATTTCAGGTGTTTAAATCGCTCATCAATTATTTCCGATGAGACTTTTTTAATTGGGTAGATCGATTAATTTAGTCATAAAATTGCAAGAGGACAGAGCGAATTACTAAAGAAAAATGTTAATAATGTTGTAGCAAGTAAAAATAAAAAAATTAAGTTTTATGTTAGTTCAAATTCCTTCATAACCTAAATAGAAGCTTCAGTTGCTCAAATGTATGTGGTAAATATCAATAAAAAGCTTATCACCTGATAAAAAAACTGAAAATTTTCGACAGTTGAAAGTTAAATAAACGGCGATTTGTAAAAAACGACCTAAAATTGTTGCATTTAAATGTAGTTGCCTTCATTTGAAAAAAGAAAAATCAGAAAAAATATAGTAATTGAGAATAAAGAAGGGATAGCGTACGAAAGTGAACCTGAATTTAATGATGTTTTGGATTTAATTTGCAGCTTGCCAATTCCCGTAACTTTTACATTTTCTCGTTGCAATAAAGATAAGAATTTCATTAAATAATGATACATTGTTTACAGGTAAAAGTTTGTTCGATACTGCAGTTCCAGTGATCTTCGATTTAGAGACGACAGATTTTGGCAAAGCGATATAAATTTATTAAGTAAATATAAACAATATAATTTTTACAAATTCAGTTATATACTATTTTTTTCAATATCTGAAAAATATTTTTAGTTCGTCTTTAAAGATATTATTTATACAAAAACCAAAAAATTGATTACCACTTTTTACGGTTTGTTACCTGCTGCAAATAAAATGTTTTTGAGGCTTACATGGTGCCCGAAAAACTTATACCTCCAGTCAGAACTGAAGTTACGAGTTTGAAAGTAATTCATGAAGAATTATATTTTAATGAAAATATTGTAAAAGTGACGTCCTTCAGAAAGGCTCCATCAAATTTTTTAACGTTTTTGAAAGGTCAAGGAAAGTCGGTTATATTATATAAGTAGTTCATAACGGTTTACTGTAAATTTTTATACTAAAGAAATGTGCTTTAATTTATGTATGTACGTGTTCCAGACAAGTAACTATTCGAGAATAGCCTTCTATTTTACACGTGTCGTAATTCAAAACGATTGAGTTTTTTTCCAACTTATGCCAAAAACGTGTGCGAGCCCATTGAAAATAATCCTTGGCGTGGTCGACGAAGGGCGTACGGGTTATGAAAAATAAAAGAGAAATTTGAAAGAGACAACAAAGATGCAGTCGAGAGCGTCGTGTGCCGCATGTGTCAAATCGTCGGCGATCTTGCGACGAGATAGAGCAGCTACTGTTCAAACTAGATCTACAACAGCTCGCTCGGACAAACCCGAGTGTGCATTCGTAATGGCAAGCAGCTGAGCTGTGCTTGACCTTCATACGCCGCCGTAAGATGATAAAGCGAAAGGCGAGCGCAAGGATCGAGCGTTTTTACAATGCGACCTGCTATTGTCCGACCCATAGAAGCCCGCGCGCGGCACACAACTGTTAATGCCACAAAATAAAAATAAAAAAAAATTACGTCTCAACCGATTATATGCAGAAATTAAACCTACGAATGTACGGCGATGCGAAAATAAATCTACGGAGAACAAGCGACGCACACTTGTATTTTTCCTGCCAGCGTACCTTTTTTCATATGTATCTATTAGCGAAGAGCGAACTAAATATTACAAGCAACGAAAAGCGAAGCCACTTGAACGCACGAGCACCCGAGTTCCCTTTTTTTTTGCTTTTTTGTATTGTTACAGCTCAACAGTAATGATCACCGATCACCAAGAATTTCCCCACGTATCTCACGCTTTTCATTAAATTCTTCATGTGCACACGTCACGCAGTGGCAAATGCCCTGTATCGTTGTCGAAGACGCAACGCCATTATCACCGCCTTCGACGCATGCCAACACGCGCCGTGAGTGCTTATCAATAAACAAGCTCACGGTCGTGCATGGGATGGGTATCGAGCTGAAAACGCATCGGTTTTCACGTCTAATACCCGCGAAAATTAGGAGTTTGTTGCTTTCACCTCTCGAACCTGCGGAACGGGAGGCCACATCGGGCCTCACCGAGGCCGATCGGCAGCGTTGCACGAGGAGCGGGGTAAGTAGGCTACGCGCACAATTGGCCAAACGGCCGAAGAAAATTACGCCTTCGCCTATTTGGGCCGAATGGAAGGGGCAAAGACGAGCGAGACTCGCAGCGGAAAAGCCTGCCGAACAACGGAAAAGAGGACACGCCCCGGTTAACCGGCCGGAGTGGAAGGAGGGAAAACGGGCTTAAGCCCTTTTTTCTCAGCGGCCGAACGGGTAGCGAAAAATCCTCAGAACTGATCAGATGCTCGAACAATCAGGTGGCTTCGCTTTCGCGAAGCGCAATTTTTCTTGTCCGGTTCACTTGCAAATGCGACTTTTTGGATTTCTCGCGGCGTAAATTAGTTGTAATTTCAACTTTGTATTTCATCATTATTTTTTACTGAAGTAACCTTTGTAATTTGAGGTTTATGCGAGTTTTATTTTTGTTTTATTGTGTTATCGTTTTGGAAAATCTTGTAGTAAAGTTAAGAATTTCATTTAATTAATTGCCATTTATTTCACTTTACCTTAACCCGAACAGTACGAAAAATATTACAAATACTTGTATATTCGTTGTGCAAAAAATAGAAATATTACTTGTATGAAGAGTGTACTTTAATTTCTGAACATCAAAACTGTTATTACTAATACAGCCGTTTGGAATTGATTATATGTTACCAATACTGTTTGTTCACGTTTTATATGTATATGTACTCGTATATACGTTACGTAGAAAATTGAAATACTGTATGTAGAAACATACAGCTCATGTATATTACAACATAAGCTTGCTTGTGTCGTCAAAAACGCTTTTGTTATGTTGCTGAGCATTTTACGGCATTTATATTTTAATATGTTTTTATGAGTACTATTAGTTTCAATGTATCGTTAATAATCACAATATTTATTCTTTAAATTTATTAGATGTATTCACGGATGTAGTTAAAGGTTTCATCGATACTTTACCTATGTTTCGAGACAAATTACCCGAGAGGGTTAAAGCAAAAATGATGTAAATTCTCTGGTTGTACTAATGCAATAATTTAAAATTAATATTGATTATATTATAAAGAAAAGTATAATTATTTTAAGTTTAGTGATGGCAAATGAATCCGCCAAGAAAAAATCCTTTTGTAAGAAATCATTAGAATTTCTAAAAAAATGTGTTACTTCATGAACAATTAATAAATTAGTAAGTATTGAAATTGATAAACAAGTTTTAATTAAAACATATAATGAAGAATATGACGAAGATACAAAGATAATTGTACAAAAATTGCTATTTATTATTAATTACAACAATTGACGATTAAAATAAAAAAAAATTATTAAAAACGTCTGTAAGGGTTTAACGTAGAAATGACTCTTTTCAATGGATTTTTTAATTGAAATGCTCGATTATTATAAATTACTTTCGATCTTCTATAGACTTAAAAGACGTTTACTTTTTAATACCATTACGCGAATCAAGTCAGAAATGTATTTGTTTTGATTGGAAAGGAAACAGATATAAATTTGTTTGTATAACCTTCGGGTTGGATGTCGCTCCATGGTTATATATTTTGAAACCTATAATGAATTTTATATGAAGCAAAAACTTGGTCTCGGTAGTCTATATCGATGACTGGCTATGTTTTAGTAATATTTATCAAGAGTGTTTAAATATGTTAATGTTTACGATTCAAATTTTAGAATTATTAGGCTTCATCCTCAATAAGAGAAAGAGCAGCTTAATTTTACAAGACAGGTATTAGTTTCTAGGTCTTATATTAAATTAAAAAACGATGTCCATGGAATTGCCTGAAGTATAAAAACCACAAATATTTGTTTTGATTTATAAAATACGGAAAGTTAAGTCCTGTAGTATCAGAAAATTCGCTATACTGGTGGGATGCATAGTAGCTGCATGCCCAGCCATAGCTTATATTTGATTGCATTTAACCCATTAACGCTCACAGGACGGTTTTTCGAGACCTGAGTTTGAACTATTCTCATGTCATGAATTCTCGTGGAAAAAATTCAGGAACCATTGTTTCTTATGTTTTCGAGTATCCTCTTTCCAATGATGCTGGTTAAAATTGTCGCTGAAAAACTTTTACGGTCCAAAAATCAAAAATAAATAAAAAAAACATGATTTTCTGATTTAATTTTTTTTTTAAATCGACTTTTCGTTCCCTAAGCATTTTTTTAATGCCTAAAACCCTTATAGATCGCGGCCTCGAGGTTTTAACTACAAGTTACTATGGTTCTCCGGATATGAAAATTTTTCGTATAAACAAAATGGCGGCCGAAGTGAAAATATTTATCTAAAACTTTACAAATTTTTTTCTCGAATACTATAGATTTTCATGAAAATTTTTAAAGAACAAAAATGTCTTAGAATTAGTTATAAAATACTCTCAAATTTTTTCAGAATCATCCGAGAAAATTTTGGGATTTCGGAAAAGTCTCTGAATTGAAAATTTAAAAATTATGTCGGAAAATTTTGAAATAATTTGAGAGCGTTCTTTGTTTGTTTTTAAGACATTTCTATTCTCAGAAAAACTTTCGTAAAGTGCATGGTTTTTGGTAAACAAAATATTTGTTTAGCAAACTTTAACATTTTTTTTCTCGAAAAGTATACTCTTTAGGAACATTTTAGGGAACGAAAAGTCGATTTAAAAAAAAAATTAAATCAGAAAATCATGTTTTTTTTATTTATTTTTGATTTTTGGACCGTAAAAGTTTTTCAGCGACAATTTTAACCAGCAACATTGGAAAGAGGACACTCGAAAACATAAGAAACAATGGTTCCTGAATTTTTTCCACGAGAATTCATGACATGAGAATAGTTCAAACTCAGGTCTCGAAAAACCGTCCTGTGAGCGTTAATGGGTTAAAGAGCCTAGAAAGGGTGAAATATTTTAATGTTTTAAAGAAAAACTATAATTACTCTGCAAAAATGGGATTGTCGACAACACTACATTTAGATCTAGAAAGGTGACAGAAAAGAATTTCAACTAGTGTCAATAAGATTAAATAATATAAGTTCAAATTGGAAATTTTCTTTGATGCTTCAAGGACTGGTTGGGGCACATCTTGTAACGGAAAATAATTTTTGGTAATTAGAGTCAGGAAGAATCATAATTTAATATTGATTACCTCAAATTAAAATCGGCCCTTTACTGCTTAAATCATTTCGCTAAAGATTTAATTACGTGTGAATTGTTACTGTAGATCGATAATACGACTGCGATCGTATATTAATAGAATGAGAAGTATACAGTAATCTTAATTAAATTAAATGATTAGAGTTATCTAGTAATATTGCGGACAATTCAGTCTTTGGATTTTTGCATCATACATCACGACATCGCGCGGTACCGCGCGTACTCAACATGAATACGGAATGGGAACTAGCCTCTTGGGCCTTTGATGCTATTATGACCAGCTTTGGTAAAATTGATATTGACTTGTTCGTCTCTAGTAACAATAAAAAGTGTTATGTCTATTGCTTATGGCAACCGGATTCCGAGGCGTTCTGCATAGACACGTTTACACTCAATTGTAGTTAGTTTAAAATTTTTGCCTTTCCACTAGTGGCCTTAGCTTTAAAGACGGTACAAAATGTAATAAATGATAAAGCACAAGAAATTTTTGTTGTTCCCTATTGGCCGTTGCAAACATGGTATCCGTTTTGGAATACAATGCTAGTGGAGGAATCAATAATTTTCGATCAAAGTTTTAATTTATTATTGTTTCTATGAATACAGGGCTATCCAGCATTCTTTGGTCTCCAAAATGCGACTAATGACAGGAGTATTATCCGGTAATGTTATTTAAACCAGGGACTCGGCAAGGAAACAATCCAGTTAATGTTCAAATCTATCTCAGAGTCCACGTTAAAACAATATTGCAAATCACTTGGAAGATTAAGCAATATTTTGGTTTTCATCTAGCAAAGATCCTTATGAGTAGTTCTACTAAAAAGGCAAATGTTACCAAATTTTTTGCTAAATAGTAAATTAACGCCTTTGGCACTTTTTTCCTACAAATAGCATCCAATATCGATAAAAAGAAGTTTTCTGAGTTCTGCATAATTCTGGACCGTTATTATACCCGTTATGCCTATTTTTGACTATATAACCAAATTTCATCTCCGAAGTAATTTTTCATACATATTTTCTAATTGGTATTTCTTATTTACTTTATATACATATATTATTGCAGTTAACATATTATTTTCATATAATGAACATATAAAATTACTTATTTAATTAGGTCGATAGAAATTTTTCACTAAAGAAATTATAAAAAGCAAAAAAATAAATAAATGTGAAAATTTTCAAAATCAACGATTGGTAAAAAGAAGAGAGTCTCAAAACACTCCTTTTGCATTTAAATCAGTTTTAATACTCTTTTAAACGTCCAAATTTTGTAATAAAATCTACATTGAGATAATAAATTTGATTTCCAAGAAAAGACTTTGGAGATGAATTTAATATTTTATTTTAGTGTAAATATACTAAAAGTATTAGAATTCATTACAACGTATCAGGAATATTAAAGGGTTATATAGGTTCTTAAAAATTATCATATGAATGCATTTGTAATGTGCATACGCACGAGTAATATTGAGGCTTTGGAGATAGGAGGCTTTGGAGATGAAAGTTAATTTTTCCTCAAGATACATAATTTTTTATTTATTTTATTTATTTATTTATTTATTCCAGAGTAATATACATAAATTATAATATGCATACATACATTACATATTAAATGTAATCCACCAGAGGAACTTCATTCCTGTTTGCTAGTCTGGTGTAAAATTAAAACTAAAAACTACATGGAATACATACATAACTCAATTAGAATAGTCTGGGGGTGTCGGCTTATGCTGAAGTAGCCTTGCACTGCTTCAGTAAGTAGATCACTGTTCATTGCACTTATTGTTTCTATATTACTAAATTCTATTATATCTATTATATATTGTCTATTTATATCTAAAACATATGTATAAAACGTTAAAAATTATTATATATACATACTAATCGATAATTTTTTAACAGAACTTTTCATTTAATTCATCAGAATTGAAGTTATTATTGACTGTAAGGGATTTTTACTGCTTAATAGCAATGTGTGCATTTTTTGCAAAACCGGAAGACAATTTTCAAAGCTATGAATAGAGATAAAGATAAAAGTTAAACCTATTGATATGGATGCTAAAAGTGACTTTAATGTGTTCATTTGAAAATGGCTTTGTTGAAATTAATGTAAAAAATATTTAAAAACCATGTCAGTGGTATTAATGTTTGAAATAGTGTTGTAGACACTATAAAAAGCCTTCGGAGATGAATGATCTTTGTCCGCCATTTTGAAAATATTGGAGATAATAGGTTCTCAAATTTCGTTTAAGTAGTAGCCATTTTTTACTGATATATATCGTTAGTTATCAATAGGAAACTTCTGCAGAATACATGGTACAGCGGAACTCTGATTTGTGCCTTTTCAGTAGAACTGCCCATATAAGGCCAAAATTAAAACGGCAATTGCTTGGTTAGGCTAGAAGTTCTTAAAAGGCGCCACTTACGGTAACCTTTACACTTATAGATCGGTTCTCATACTAGTTGTGGGAGAAAATAAGCAGAAATTTGTCAATTAATAGATTATTAAGACGCGTATACAACGAAAGACCCACAAAGCCAAGATATGATAGGACGTATGGCTTCGAGTTGGTGCTATTAGAATTAGAGAGTATATATCCACTAGAAAAATCAGCCTTCATCAACTAACTGATTATTAGCAGTTTTATTAGCTCTACTCACCTCGTATCGAAAAAAGATTCTTATTTTAATAAATATTGAAAATATTCTAAAGAGTAAACAAGGTTATGAAATAGAGATTCGGCATAGAGTTAAAAAATCCAACCGTTGCGTAAAAAATAACAAATTGATTATTACAACGACAGCACGTAATAGAGTTACATTGAAAAATATAATTAGTAGATGTTAAGAACCTTTTTAGCCAAATGTGGCATAGATAAGAGGCCCACTCCGCATAGTCTGCGTCATACGTCTACTTCGGTAACGTTGAAGAAAATATGTTAAGCTAAACATCATAAAGAGCCTAGCTGAACGGTCAAAATACTAATATTTTAAACGCTTTTATAACAGGCCTATTTCAAGCGTTAAGGGCTTATACGCTTAGGCTCAAACCAGTAGATGTAATCTTTTATAACATTTTGCGTTATACTTTGTTTTTATAAATCTTTGTGTACAAGTTTATAAGCCTTGTAAAAATTTATCTTAATAAAGGAATAAGTAAAGAGAAACATGTACTTAACTATGTGTATAGACTCTAAACATCTATGTAGTAATCCAAAAACGAGACATACAACATAATAGGATCGAGCGAGCCCGACGAAAACTTGTTACTCCCGCCATTGAAGCAAGCAAGCTAGCTAACAAAAACTATATCAGTATGTATGAGTTGTACTGAAAAAGATTCAAAGAATGGTATGAACAAAAGATAATTGCAACAGATAAAACAGATGAAAGAATTATACTGGCTTACTTTCAATTCCTGTCCAGCAAATTATAGAACAACAACTCTATGGACAACTTATTCAAAATTGAAATCAAATCAAACTAAATCACATGAGGTAATGAAATAAAAAATGAGGAGATTTATACATTTTTGAAATATGTCCCAGAAAATGAATTTTTGTTGCATAAATTTAGTTAAAATAAAATTTATATATGTACACATTTCATACAGAATTTGTTATAATAAATGTATCCCATAAATTAAAAGTATATGCAGCTACGCCCTGAAGACATGGGAAGTTTCTTTCTATGATACAGAAATGGAACTCTTATTCGTCAGTTAAAATATATTTTCTATTTATTTTCATTTTTATAAAATTCAACTATAAAGTACTCTAAAATTTCAGTTCAATTTCTACAGAATATAGGAAAAGATAGGGGAGACTAGGACTAGTTAGCATACGGGGTAAAATGACTAATGTTTAATAATTCCTATTAAATGCCATACACTACGTGCATCACGGTTAATATCAGCGACGTAGAATAACACAAGGAATTTTCGTATCGAGTTTCAGTCGGAAAGTAGCTTTCATCGCGGAAACTGGTAAATTTGAAAATTTTGAGTTATTGAACCAAAAAATTTACTTAAAAATTAATAATTTCTGAAAACGAATGTGAAAAAGTGGTAAATAATGGCTTTTGTGCATGTTATATTATGTTATTCTTTGGTTTCAAATTTGCTAAAATAACTTTTGTTTATTGTAGTAAAGAAAAATATGAAGTATTTGAAATGAGCATGTATGGTACATAGTAAAAGATGTTGCTACTGTATAAGAAATACAATCATTGCGTGCATTCATTCCAATCAATGATAATATAACGGAAGTTAAAGTAAAAAAAATTTCATACTCTTCTAAATTTGAAATAAGAAGCTTGATTTAAAAGATAATTTAAGGTAGCTCATCAGTATTTGTCGATTGATTTACATAGTCAAATTTACATTTAAAAAAATGTATGAATACTATCACTTTAATTCTGATAAACTCAAAATAAGTTGAAATTATAATTTTCGAGAATAGTCTTATTGATAATTAGTTCGTAATTTATAATAACACAATAGCAATAGTAGTTATTAACCTATTAACCGAGCGGGACGTATAAATACGTCAAAAGTAAACAATATCGGGTACGGGTAGGACATATGAATACGTCCTCGATATTTATATTGCGCCCTGGAACGGGCGGGACGTATATTTTACTACTACTATGGTAATACGTCATTCATGCACGTCTTAGTGGAAAAGGTCGCGCCCGTTATATGTTGCGTAATTAGAAAGGGATTTCCCCGGTTAACAGGTTAACTTGATTGTGGTTGTTTCTGGAATAGGTTTGCTGCGTATGCGCAGCTGACGGCTGCCGCTAAGTCTGCTTCGATCCTCGATCATAACATTAGCCTAATCTCTATCAAACTACGTGATTGTTGTACGTGATTTTAATATATTTGTCAAGTATCAATTCATATAACAAAATGCCGAAACACAACATTCATCACGCGAAAGGAAAGAGGAAAAGCAAATTTGCTAAACAAAAGGTTGTACAAGGGCTTAAAAATAATTTGGATGCAATATCCGAAGCAGGAAAACTGAAATCTCAAATGAAGTGCTTGGTTGCCCAAACAAGTGTAAGTAACAGTTTATAATAATTTGAGTGATGAATTTAGTATTGATATAAATTGTAGTACTTAATGTAATGAAAATTAATATACTAAGAGGAAAAAGCTGCTCATGTAAGACGAGTTGTAGAAATTGATACTTTGGCAGCAGAAATGTGGTATAAAGATTGTCAAATACCAATATCATTTAGAAATGTAACTGGTGAAACCCAAAAAGGATTGGCTAGTGTATTAGATGTTACCTGCATAAAATGTAATTCACTGTGTGCTGTACATACCAATGTATATAACCCAGTTAATAAAAGCTATGAAGTGAATGGTAAATTAGCTTTTGGTGAGTTAATAAATTTAATTTTCTTTTATTTGTTATATACTAAAACAGTAAAACTGAATATTTCATATAAATTGTAGGAATGATTGATGCAAGTGTTGGCGAATGTCACATTAATACTGTATTGTCAGCAACTGATGTACCAACAGTATTACCAACAACAATGAAAAAGTATGAACGACAAGTTGGTGTTGCTCAAGAATCATGTCTTGAAGCTGTACGACTAGAAAAGCAGATGACCTTAAAGAATGAGTCAATAGAAAACAAGTAAGACTTACAGTATTTAATAAAAGTGAAAATTAATTGCACATCTCTTGATGCCGGTTGATGCTGTAAAATGAAATGCATTCATCAATAGATGAGTTATGCTAATGCTAAGATAGTGAATCATGGAAAAAAAAGAAATTGTATACTATTAATTGTTAAAGATGTATGCTATTGGAATAAGTTACAACTAAAACTACATGAGCCATTGTATTGTGCTATTTTCATGAAAATTGTACGTATGCAAATAATGTTGACTTAATTTTCTGTTATTTTTGTTTTACTATGATTGTTATTTATATAATGTTAAAGAAAATTATTTACATATTTACAAAGTGATATTTACATATTTATAATTTGATTTTTACAAAATTTCAATCATGTACTTACTTATACGTCTACAATTGTCAAGAAATTTCTTTACATATGTACAATTTGAAATGTCGTTTATGTATATATTTAAATAAGTTTTAGAGTGTATTCTTTTGTATATTTTCATTATATGTACAGGGTGTTCCATTTTAAAGGAACCACCCCGAAATTTTCGACGGTTGGCGTTGTACAAAAAAATTGTTCAGATAACAGTTGTTTGGGACAATGGGGGCAACCTTTCTGTGAAATCCGATTTGACCTTGAGATTCATTTTCAAGGTCATTTGAAGGTTAAAGTCATTTATTGAATAGGAACCTATATTTTTGATCCCGGATTCGGAAAGAGCGGAAAATTCTACGTTCAGATAACGTATTATGTGTGAGGTGCGGTTAACCCCTCCCTCGCCTAAGGTCATGTAGGAGTCAAATTTATGATTTTCTTCATCTATGCACAGGGATAATCAGGCAAGAGTAAGAGTAAAAAACGATCATCGAAAAATGCTGCTTGTGATAGAAGAGAAGTCATAACATGCGAATCTGGCTTTGTAATGAATGAAGTATCTAACTTGATTTCTGAGTAAGAGCCTGATTCTCAAATGTTGCCACCACCAAAACTTGATCTTCAAGCATGCGCAGTTTTACTGTACGATTTGGAAACTACTGGCTGTTCATTACAAGATGAAATTGTTCAAATTGCTATTTAATCGTATACCAATGACAATGCTTTCAACATTTATATAATTCCCTCGAAATCGTTTTCGACAAAAGCATCAAAAGTGACAGGATTTCAGGTTGTCAATGGTGAATTATATTTACACGAAAATCGCGTAGAATCTGTGCCTGCTACACAAGCGTGTCAATAATTTTTAAGTTATCTTCAGAGTTTCAAACATCCTATAATTTTAGTGGCCCATAATGGTTTCTCATTTGACAATCCTCGTTTGAAACGGCTGATGCAACAATATGGATTGTATAATGAATTAAAAAAAATTGTTTTTGGTTTCGCTGATTCATACAGATTTTTACAAAAATTCTCCCAGAGAGAAAAAAAGAGAAGAAGAAATTTTCCGTTGATGCTTTGATCACAGATTATTTGCCAGATAACTACTCATCTTTTTCGCTTCATAATGCGACTGATGACGTGCGAGCTCTGAAAGAATTGCTGGGCAAAATATTGCAGGACAATTCTGAATCGAAAATTAAAGCATACACTAAAACTATTGCAGAAATCAATAATAAGAAGAACTTAAATTCTAGAAAAGCATTTAATAAAGCAACTTTGAGTGAATTCAAAGGTAAACTGAGCTCTCGAATTATAAATAGAATGTCGGAAGCTGGAATAACTAAGCGTGTTACAGAGTTTGCTTACAAAAAAAATAGAAAAGAAGGTCTACGCGTATCTGAAAATCTGAAAATGTAGATGGAAAACCAAGAGTAACTAACACGAAAAGCATTTTAAATAATTTTTATAGTTTATTCATTAATGAAAATTTGTAATTTTCATGTACAGTTTCGATGATTAGTTGTATAATGTGTTGATTTGGCTCTATATAGACAAATAGTAGTGTCTCAAGTACGAAAGGCCGTTTGAAATTTAATTGGTTTTTTTATGATTGAAATATTTTTATCATTCGTTTGTCATAGTTGACAGTTGATATATGTAATAAAACGTTGAAACCCATATTGATTTACAATGATCCTTATGAATACCTATATATATCGTATATGTAATATTTTATGTATCTCATGCAATTTTGAATTACGCGCGCGTCGGACGTCTGTCGGCTCGCTTGTACGGCAGTCAATGGCAGACATCTTAGTTTTGCAAATCGAAGGTAAGACCACTTTTATTGTTATATATCTCTTCGGAATTGACGTTGACACTTATCTTGTATGATATCATTTGAATCCTTAGAAAATCATCAATAAATAGTTAGTTTATGAATATGATCTCCCGTTTTTCTGCACAGTAATTAATCAATCAAGCTTCACTTCCGGTCGGTCTCTCATAAGAGGTACGTTAAATTTGCAATATTCAAAAGGCTCGTTTTTAAAATTTTGCACGTTAACAGGAGCTGAAAAAGTAGCAGAAAGGTTCTTCAGAGTTTTATTAACGATCTTACAAAATTTCGTTACGATCTTCCATATTTGAGTTCACTGATGAGCTTAATGATACCTTAAGCGTAATTTAAGAACAAATCTCCTCAAATATCTTATTAATAGCATTGGTAGATAATAATGGTTTTATTGATGGATTCCATATTAAAGTGTAAGTGCAATAAGAAACATGTTTAATGCGGCCGCTTGATAAATATGCGTTGGTCTCAAGCCCGATCAAACGCGTAGAGCAAGTGTTTTATTTAAAGTTATATCAGATTTTATTAAAAATTAAGTTATTAATATTATTCATTTTATTAGTTTATTTATAATATATTAAAAGAAATACTCGAGTGACAGAATATGAAATTATTTATTCTTTAAAGACCGTTAATGTTATTTACCATGTGCAGTGAGACATATACCGTACGAGCAAAGTGTGGCCTAACGGCCAAGCGGCAAGCGCGCGGTTAGGTTTATTTAAGTGCTGTGTAAATTCTCATAACGGGAACTTAAGTTTGACAACGGTTTCTCATGTAAAAAACGACAAGAAATACAATGGGCAAATTTTTTTTTAAATATCAATTTCCGAGATATCATTGATTAAAAAAAATGTCTATAACAATGATATAAACAAATAATTATGTTTCTTTCTATTTATATTTTAAAAGTAAAAATTTTTCCGTATTAAAAAAAACACGACGATCTTTGTTTATTAGTTTCAAAAAATTGAAATAACAAAAAAAATTCATATTTTTCAATAGTAGAACTGGACTCGCTATCAATATTTTAATCTAACATTGTGCATATATGTTAACCTCTATACAGATAATAAGAATATTAACTTTGAACAAATTTGATGAATTTGACATTATGGGCTGTATGAAACAGCCAATAATAACCTTACAAACATATTCCTCGGTCGTAATGACTCTAGAGTATTAGTTATTAGGTATGCGTCAGCAGCGTATCGGGTGCCGTTACGCTGAAGGAGAAGATGTTATCAGCACGAGATAGTATAAGAGCCGAGGCAGCGAACGTAGTGAGCACCGAAGCTTTTATATTCCGCGATGCAAACATTTTCTTTTCTTGTGTGAAGTCGATCGTTATACTGCTGATGCTTCAAAAATTTTCACTTCTGGCAAGCCCGTATAATGATTGGGTTTTTAGATACCGAGAACAATCGGTCGGTAAAAGAGTCATACGACGCAAATACACAAAATTTGTAATATATTAAGTATAATAAATAACATTTTTGTTTTTCAAATATTTTATTAAGAACACTGTCAATACTATTTAACCGGCTGACACAAACATGTGCTGCCAAAATCATGTCTTTGTCGCGTCAAAGGAAAACTACAATTCGTTTAACTAACTTACGCTCCATGTGGTGAGTGAAAGTTTCACTGTAGTGTGAGTCATCCTCCAGTGTAATGAATCACCTCTTCTGTTTTCTCTTAGTATAATAGTGCTATTACACTAAGAGGAGCTGCTCGTGCGTATGGGACCCCTTTACTGACCGAATGTGCTCTGTATGTAAAAACCCGAATACGGCCGCCTGCAGTGAAATAGTTATTTTCGATACTCCGTGCGCAAAGTGCGCCTTTCCCGCACGCTCGGCAGAAAACGTGCTTTGAAAATCGCACTTTCCACACGTCGTATCTAAAAATACGGTACGGCACACGTTCGGGAAAGAGTTTCTCGCTTCGCTCGGGCGTAAACGCTACACGAGACATAAATTTACTTTCCCCCACTTGTATCGTAATGTACTATGACAGTTTGTATTAGGATGACGCAGCGAGCGAAGCGAGAACCGAGTATATAACATCCCGCGCTATATAAAAACTTTCAATACGTAGTGTACTGGCACTTAACTCGGCCATTGCGCTTCAAAAATTTTATAATTTTGACGAAGACGTATTTGAGTTACGTGCGGGTGATATTTAATTGAAATAATAAACACGCAGTGTTGTTACATAAATATATTTATATTTTATAAATATTTAAACACTTAAATAATAACTTGAATAATAAACTTACTATTAATGGTTAATTATCATATTATAATAAAAATTAATCAGTACAACACGATATGTACAGAATGATTGCATCTGAACCGTTATGGATTTGTACAATTCAACATGCATTTTTGATATTTATGAAGCTAAGTGAAGTAGCTTCACTTAATTTTATGGATAGTAAAATAGAAGAAAACAGATAAATATACAATTAATTCAAATTCAAAATTACATCTAACTATAAATAGCTATCTTATCTTTTGAATTACTATTTAAATGTTTATAAAATTTATAAAATATAAATATATTTACATAACACTAAATATTTGTGAGATTATGTAGTGTAAAATCAATGAAAAAAAAACTAGTAAATCTGCTTGCAGTTGTACCATATATCATTTATTTATTGATTGCGTACCACCTACACGTAATTTGAATACGTCTTCGTCAAATTTTTTAGGCGTTATGACCGAACCCTGTACCAGTACGATATAGTGAAGATGTTTGTCATGCGCGAAAGTATCCGTAAAGGCTGGGGTATTGAGTTCCAAGCACAATAATAACTAAGATTACTCCATATTCTATAGCTTTCTTCACGGGATCAGTTGATGCGATGATATGTAATTAAGTATACTTTTATTTTTTTTTATAGTTAAAAATATATTTTAATCTATGAAGTATTGTCTTTGATAGAGCAACTGTAACCTTATAGTGCGTGAGAAGAAAAAAGCAAAAAATATCCCACAGGACACAGCGAGAACGAAGGAAGGGTAAAATACAACCCTCTCCATTTAGAATTCAGCACAGCAAACAATACACTCGGTCACTGCATGATTTCTTAAATGGATTATTCAAAAGCCAGTTCGGTAGCCATTCATTTCTAAGCTTTTTGTACTTCTTGATCTCAACAACATAAACGTGAGAACTAGATCTGTGTGTACCATGAATTACTTCATTCAAATTTGAAATTACTCTTTTTCCACGTTATTTTGAACAAACTCAAATCGCACACTGTACTCCAATCCAAAATACATAGTTGTAGGAGTCGTGTCATGATATTGTCGAATATTCTGTTGTACCATATGAAGATTATATATACGTGTTTTGTATAAAAGTACTCATTGGATTGAGAATTTGTAGGGTCTCAGACTTTTACAAGACTCGCAAGTCTACCAAATGAAGACAAGAATTTAGCGAGTTGACACGCGCTCACACAGCCAAACACAGGTATCTGACCCTACCATAAAACTACGGTCGACTCTTTTCGGACAAACTAGCTAAATCCACGCTGCACGCATGTATTTTTCTTCATTGTAACTTTTTTCCCTCTGATCCTTGAGGAGATCAGACAGCCCGAAATTATAGTAAATTAAAGTAAATATGTTGTATATGCGTGCGTCTGCTCGTAAGATTGCTGTGGACATTTGCATATGGCACAGCTTCTACTTATTTTTATTATAATTATTTATATCGACATTGACTTTCTTACCCACTCTTATGAACTTTTTATTAATAATAAAATTATTATTACCATTCAATAAGGAATGCTCGATGACTTTGTAATCTGTAATCTCTCTTCAATATAATTATTACCTAAACTTTTAGAATAATAGTTCGTACTGACACAGAGCCATTTGATTATACTCTGTTGATTCTTAACATAATACTATTATCTTGAAAGCTTACGTAACTTTTGATTGTTAGCTTTGATTTTTTTAATTAGTGAGCAAAACAAATAGTTACCAATTTTAACGATACATATATCTAATTATTTCACTAATAGCTCTATTATCGGGAAAATAATAGAGCTGATGTCAATCAAAAAATCATCTGTTTGTAAAAACATACTTGAATGATAGCCTCTTCAACAGTCCTACCAGTTTCTTCATAAAGTGTTGTCACGTCTAACACGTGACATGGTAGATGTTCGAGCGCGTGAAGTACAGCCGGGCCGAGATGACGAGTGTGACAGTCATCAGTTCCACATAGTAACAATCTTGGACAATTAGTCGAATGTGAAGCAATTGAGTCGCCTCTGAAAGTAATATTACAAATATTTCTGCCATCAAGCGTTCATTACATATTATTTACGTTTATGTACTATTAAAAATATTTTGTAATATATATATAATAGTATTATGTAGTAAAAAATATTAATTACATTTATTTGCGTTATGAAATGTATCATATAAAATAGAATCAATTGATCTCCATCATTTTAAATATGGCTCATAGGGGAAGCTTCGTTACCGTTGAAGGATTTTTTAAGACAAAAATTAAAATTCGATATTTAATGTTAAAAAGAGTTAGTGAACTCCTTACAAGTCATTGGAAGTTATCATTTCTGCTGGACAAATAGAATGTAGACTTGACATTATACAGGTTAACTTGTCTTGAAGTAGGGCTCGCATTTCCGAAGGCAATGTTTTGACTGGTATAACACATATTCTATGTGAGGCCGGAACAATATTCTGCTGGGCTTTTATGAAGTCTAATTTTTCAACCTGCCAATTTCGTATGATTAATATTCATCTTTTAGAAATCAGAAATGCGTATTGGTTGTTTACTTTTGAAATCATTTTATAAAGTTAACGATACTACTATATTATTATGTCATTGTAAATAATTGCGATTATTTTGTTGGCTGTACCTTGAGAGATCGTTCATTTATATGATACTTGGACTTTGTAGTATAAATTTGAGGGTAATTTCTTCTGACGCAACACATTACAGCTTCGGCACAAAGTGCTTGTAAATCACTGCCGCAAAACCCAACAGTCTTCGAAGCCAAATAAGCTAAAAATTTCTGTGGAGGTTTCTGCTTCCAACTTTTTACATGTATCTGACCAAACATAATAACATTAGCTAGATATTCGTAATTGACACAAACAACTTGTTATAATCGTTACGTGACTCATGTGATCAATAACTGTTGGTAATATAAATCGTATGATGTCATCATGTGAACATTTTTAACCGGTGAGATATGGAGACTCAATACTAATCTATAATTTATCTTAACGTATTTGACTAATTTGATACAATTAAAAAATTGTCTTACGTAGTTAATGTTCAAAATGAAAGGCAAAAGAATTTATTGGTTAGAAGCCGTTATACAACTATTAGAGAGTTTATAGTACATTTGAAACATAAAAATAAAGTTGTTTAATATGAAAAAATAAAAATACAGTACTACACCTGATAAAATTTATGAAAAAGTGGATGAAGCTATATAAGTGAAAGTTCCTACAAATAAGAAAAATTATTACACCTTAAAACTGCATATCATTAAAAGTACATATTTATTACACGATGTGGCGTTAGTAATTTTTTGTTTTATCTATCTACGTAAGATCATACAGAACTAATATGATAAATAAGATCAGTTCAAATATAAATTAAAAATAAAAGTACTTATCATATAATCTAACAAATGAAGAATACATTAATGATTTCAAATATAATTAGTTGTGAATATAATCTAAACAAATACTTTTGTTGTAATAAAAATTAATGTCTGTATTGCGTGCGAACCTAAACCTTATTCATATTTTTATTTCATTAACCTTACTGGTTGACTGAAGATAATTAATAAATGAAAAGCTTTCAGAGCGTCAAGCGAAGTGGGTTTTGATAGCTTATGAAATGGAGTAATTTTAAAAGTTAAATTTGCGAGGAAAGATATTTATATCTAATAGATTTGGCGTTAAAAGTAAACTAAAATCAAAATTGAAATTCTATAAAAACTGAAAAACTCATGATCCACGTAAGATGATTGCAATTTTATGACAAAAGTCGCGTATAAATGAATCAAAAATAAACTTAGATGTGGCCAATACAACGCTTCTCCCGCGAACTTGTATTTTAAACATTCCGTTTTACTTTATCAGTATGTATTGACTCCAAATTAACGATAAATAAGTCTGCTTATTATATGGTGAGAAGGTAAGTAGAATAATAACAAAAAAACGCATGGGGAATGGTGTGAAAATGACTTACTGCAAGTATATCTTTCCTGGCGTTATAACAAGGCAGCGGGAAATAGAGTTCTCGGTCGAATCTACCGGGTCTTCTGAGAGCAGGATCGATCGAGTCGAGTCTGTTAGTGGCTCCGATGACAATAATTTCGGAATTATTATCGAAGCCATCCATGAGAGCTAGCAAAGTCGAGACGACACTCGCGTGAACGAAATCCTGTCGACTCGAGCGAATTGGGGCCAGACCGTCGACCTCATCGAAAAAAATAATACAGGGCTTGCTTTGATGGGCCTGTGACAAAAAGCCATGCTCGTAATCTCTTCGCCTTAACTTTAAAATACAGACGTACTGACCATTTGAAAGATTTTTTTCAACTTCTGTTCACTTTCGCCAACCCATTTGCTTAGACAGTCGGATCCCTTGCGCGAGATAAATGACACTCTTCGCTCGGAGCTATTGCACTCAGTCGCCAACGCACTTGCGACTAACGTCTTTCCAGTACCTGTATCGCCCAACTCTCAACAATTTGTTGTTTTTCTTAATGCTACATTTTCTTCTGATATTTAATAGAAACTATAAAACGCTAGTAATTGTCAAAGTGATCTAGCCTTCAATAAAACTTAATGTTTATTCGACTTCGTGCAAGTCTCACGTTGAAAAATACGTTTTTGAAAAAGGTAATTGAACAGCAATTATTATTAGTAATGTTGGCTGATTAATTGTTAAATTATTTCACCTGGAGGTCCGTAAAATAAAAGGCCTCGTGGAGGTCGGAGGTTAAATTTGGCATAAATATCTCCGTACATCAGCGGAAAAAGGACCATCTCTTTCACAATTCTTATATGTTTCTCGAGACCACCAACGCAAGAGAAGTCTCTTGCACCAGTCATTTTTCTTAACTTGTTATCAAAACGACAGTGTTAGTAAACACAATTATGCTGCGATTATCATCATAACTTTTTCACAATACTTGCGACACCAAATTTAATGCTGTTAGGCAAATATTAAGCATCATTACCTGCATTTCTTGATTTTCTAGAGATAGCTGAACTAGAATTTTTGTTGAAATGTTATTAGATTATTTCACCAAAGAATTTCATTATTTTGACATTTTCCTGTGTGGAAACGTACGAAAGCAAAACAAAAGGTACTCGAACGACTGATAAACAAACTTCGAGTACAATAAATATGTTTCGTTACTTTGGCACCTTTGATTTATTACTTCAAACAGAGATTGATTGTCGTTGCTTTGGATCAAAATATTAGAAAATACAGTTGTCATACATAAATAAGTAATAGAGAAGCTTCTTATTTTTATTAATTTTAATTGTGGTTATTCTATATGTTTCTATTTATGAAATAAAAAATAATCTGTTACCACTAAATTATTTGTTATGCGCTATCGAAATAGATGGCAAGCGTGATGTTTAACACATTCTATTTTGTTAAAACTTTCTTGCAGATGAAAAAGATTTTTTTTTCACCGTATATAAAGGAAAATCCTCTTTAGGTTAGGGCAAATTCGTTTTACAACAATATAATATAGCAATAGTAAATAACAAGAGTTACGGCCGCGGCCACGGCAGCGGCAAGTATGTTCGCTATATCTGGAGAATTTGATTGAGTGTTTATCATTTTATTGTTTTTCATAATTAATTTAATAATATGCTACAACATAGTTATTATACTATTCATTTCTAATAGAATTCTAGTTTAGGAAAAAAATCTTTAAAAAAATAATATTTTATTTAACTTTGATTACTGACTGAGGTTATTTAATTCTAAATACACATGAAATGTTTTTCACTTCGCCATCTATATCACCATCTCATTCTAAATACTTAAAATTTCATTAAAAAAATGCATCGACATATGGTTTACAGAAGTACTACATCTATAATTCTTCAATAAATGAAGTTTTGGCAAAATTTTTTGAACTACTAGGTATTTTTGAATCTATAATGCAATGTATTCGAGAAAATAAAAATAAGCTATATTCAAAACTTTTTAAAAATAATTATTGGTAAACTATTGAAGAAAAGTATTTAAATGAATCGCTCTGCCTTTAATTCTATATTTCGATAATTTCGAAATTAATAATCCTTTAGGATCTCGAAAAGGAATAAATAAAATAGGGGTAACATATTGTTCCATTTTAGGTATTCCACTGAAATTTGCTAACATGTTAGAAAATTTTTATTTCAAATTCATAAATATGATCTAAAAAAACTAGGGAATCAAAAAATTTTTTCTAACTTTGTTCAGAAACTTACTGAACTAGCAAAAACTGGCACAATAGTTATTATAAATCAATCAAAAATAAAAATATATTTTATTTTAACATTTATCGTCGGAGATAATTTAGGTTTAAATACTATTTTAGACTTTAGTACGAGTTTTAACAGTAACTATTATTGCTGGCTCTGTTTTATTCATAAACAAGGTTTAAAGAAAGCAACAAAAAAACAAAAAAGAAATAGCAAAATATTTACGAAATGCAACAAATTATAACGAACATACTAAGAATTAAAGACTAGATGTTCTAGAAACATGTTTTTTCCTAATTATCACGTTATAATTAATATGACAGCTGATCCGATGCATGTACGAAAGAATTTGTAGATACGATATTGCCATAATTTTAAATGTGATTAAGGCCTGTTCTTTTACTTTAGCTTGTATGAATAGCAGAAGCAGAATAAAATCTTTCAATGTCAATGATCCAGGCGTTAATATAGCAGAGATTAAAGAAAGATATTTAACTCATGGATACATTATTATATCAGCTTCAGAAATGAAATTTCTAATTTTTAATCTTAATTTATTAATCGGTGATCTAATTCCGGATAAACAAATTGCTGAACGCTGCTTATAATTGAAGTCGCATAAAATAGTTTGTATTAGAACAAATTTTTAAGAATGACATTGATTTATTTGAAAAAATGATAACTTCTTACTTAATTCTTTACGCAAAAACTTTCAAAGTTTTCTTAAAGGTAAAAAACCATATCTTACTTCATTATCCAAGACTCATGAGATCGTTTGGATCACTTTTTTTCATGACATGCGTCCGCTATGAAGGCAAACATAAAGATTTGAAAGACCATAGCAAAGTCGTAACATCTAGAAAAAATATATCTTAGACATTAACTTTTAAACAGCAATTAAAATTATGCCATCGCTTTATTTGTTATGAAGGGTTTCTACAAAGATTAGTTCTTGGTCCATGTAAAATTCAATTTTCGTTTTAAAAATAAATTGATTGCAAATAATCTTAAATAGTATAAAACAATTAAATGGGTCAGAGTAAAAGGCACTTATAGAAGTGATAGCTATATCAACATTTAAGCATGTAATAATGTGACGTTTAAAAAAATTGTCTATGTTGTTATAAATGGTCAAAAAGTTATTTTCATATGTCTTGTCATCTGCAGGAGCGTCAAGTTATGCAAAGAACTAAGTGCTTATGAAATTAAAGAAATTACAGAGTATGACACAATCGAACACGATAATCTAATTGACTACGATGTTTATGATATGCATGTACTCAAAGATTCGACCAAACATATTTCTACTAAATTTTAAACTAATAATATGCTTTTGATTTTGAAAGTACATGTTGGTACAGTTTTGATTTGCGCTTGGAGACTTCCATGCGTACTTTATATGCATGGATATGATGTCTCAATAAAATTGTTCAGTTAATAATAAAGATAGTGTTTTGTATTTATTAATATCACATTTATTTTTAATCAGTTAGCTAGTACATATGGAAAAATCACTATTTAGCTTGGTATTATTTTTAATTTTAATTATTAAATATATATTAGCTAACTATGTATATTTGTTGAAAATAATCGCATATCAATCACTATTTGTACTATATTTTTTTGATTTAATAATGCTTGGCGTGGCTATAATTAAATATTTGTTCATTTCAAATAAATGTAATTAGTTCAAATTTCAAATGAATAATTAGAGAAATAAATGTAACAAATGTAATAATAATGTAATTAGTTCGAATTTAATGCTTATTTCAGCGACATGGCATTTTTTTATCTTATTCATTTCTTTGTTACATTCAATAAACATTTCATCATTCTTAATAAATCTATTGAGCTCAACGACTAAAAATATTCATATAAAAAACACTATAATAGAATCAAGTAAATATTTTGTTTTCTCTAACAATGGCAACATTGAATTAGTGTGATATTTATTTATGCCAAATTTACAATTTTTCACTTCAATTCTATCTTCAGCTACATTTATGAAATATTTATCGATTACTAGTAAATGTTTGATTGAATTCAAATCTACTTTGATAAATATAAATTTTCGATTATTAGGCATGATAGAATCTTTTACCAATTCAATTTAATATTTAATAAATTCGAAATTATATTTATTTGCATACACAAATATTTATTAATAGTAATTAAATATTTCATTACGGTAAATTAACATTTATGTTATGTAACTAAAGATATGCTCAATCGACATATTCATTTAATAGTTTCTAATCTAATGTTATTTAAAATAATTTTATACTATGTAATGTCCGATAATTAATAGTGTCATTTTATTTTATTTTTTTGATTTTTTTTGTATTACGACGTCAATGCATCAAACTGCACAATTTTGAGAAGCGAAAATAGGTTGGAAAGTTTTTCTTCTCAAGGTTTCTTCAAATTCCAAGAGAAGACAAGCTGACCAAATAGTTTGCGATTAGAAAATAGGTATAAAAAATTTTACGACTTTGTTATGTACGTCCATAATACTTAGGATGTCCTTATACAAACAGCATGATCTGCTGACGCCCAAACCCTATACGGAATGCAGAAAAAAAAGAGAAAGCTCCTCTTATGCGTTTTCCACCGAGTTTTCATTTTTCCGTTTAGCTTAGTCATCCAAAGTTAGAAAATTATTTTATTCTATTGAGTAGTTTGTGCAGTTAGATAAATTAAGTCGTACGATTTACCATTTAAGCTACGTTTTATTTAAGCTCCATTTTATATGTATTTAAAGATGTAAATAAATAACATTTGAGAATTAAATATAACTCTCAGATTGTTATATATATATATATATATATATATATATATATATATATATATATATATATATATATATATATATATTAATGGCTTATAATAGATAATAATTAAGTCCTTGCACATTAAAATTTTAAAATAGTACTTTTATACGTGATTTGGCATGAGTAATTCCATCTGTCTTAAAGAAACTGTACGTTTTCCTATTGTGGGAAAATTTCCACCAATAAGTTTTGAAGTTTTCATGCCCAAATCCTTCAGAGCCCCTTGCGGCCTTATTTTGAAAGAGAGAATATGCTAAGTAAGGTGCGAACTGTTTGCCACTGCTACGCCACCCGCAGCAAGAAGAGCCACGCTCAAAGGATACACTCTCTCTCAAGAAGCCCAAGGATTCTATTTCGAAAATCATCAAAGTTTACAATTATTGTTTTAAAGGACTCTATAAAATATATAAAAGTAAGTTTTATTTCAAATATTAATTTTTTTTACATTTCTTCACCTTTCACAATCCATCTTTCCCAATTCCGTATAGCTCGGTCCTCTCATTGAAAAACGTGTTGGATAGACTTGATACAATAGTTTAACGCTCAGAACTTGGATCATTAGGATCTTTATAGGTCTGAGTGGAATCTATAATTGATAATTCTCTGTTCCTTCTGAAAAGATTGATCAAACATCAAATTTTTCGGTATTTGTAACCAACACCAATCTTTCCTTACCCGGGTAAAGTGAGAAATCAGAGCCCGAAAAAGATTAGAAATTCCCGCCTCACGAAAAAGTGAGACGTAACAACTAACTTAAAATGAAAAAAGAAGTTTCCATTTTAATTAAACATA